GAGTGTCAAAATTTTACCTATACAGAGATGAACGACGAATCCCTTTGACTAAGAAAGTGAGTGAGAGAGAGAGAGAGAGAGAGAAGAAAGTTTCGGGATAATTGAAAGAAGAAAGAGCATGACAAAGGTTATATATACCCAACGAAAATGCAGCTTCTCAACCTGTTATTACCAAAATGGACACGCTTTCCGTCGGTGTACAAAATTATGACAAAAATATATTTGTGCACTTAGTAACATAAATACTTTCTCTGCAACATATATAAAATTATTAGGATATAAAATTGGTAGGTTCTGTTTTTTTTCTTCTTAGACATACACTACTTTTTTGTGCTGCTATAGAAAAGTAATACTTCAAAATTATATATGTAAATAAATAAGATACACGTTTAATTTAGATTATTTCAAGAAAAAAAGGTGTTTTTTCTTAAAAAATTTTAACTATTAGTGGACTTATTACTACACCTCTTTTATATGCATATTATTTATAAAAAAAATCATTTTATTGATTTGTATAACTTAATATCAAATTATATAAATTTAAGAAAAAAATATTTATTATTTTAAAGGATATAATTTTGTATTATTTTAAGAAGAGAGAGAATCTAAAAAACTTACAAAAAAAATACATCAAAACATAATCTTTTCACTTAGAATATCATAAGATTGTGTCGGTTAAAATGATAATATTTTTTCTAAAATTTAATATCTAGTGTATGAATAGAAATATTCTTACAAAATTAATATATAGTTTATTAAATTTAAAGGTCAAATCAATGACTTTTAAATCAAAAGTTCGTATAATTAACCCATAATTATGGCTTTTTACATTTTCTTGCTACTAGGATTCTCATAAAAAAGAAAATTGGTAGACTTTAGTGTTGGAATTTTTGTTATGAAAGAGGGGGCAAAACTAGAAACTAGGGGCGAATTTACGAAATGCCCTTGATTTTATGTTTTTCTATGTAATGCAACTGGCAAAGAGGGATTTACAGCTTCTTCGCGCGTTCCACACGTTTTGCTGCCATTTGTCAACCTCAACTTCAAACTTCAACTTGAAGCCACGTTCCTAGATGCTCTCACTATATTACTATTCAATATTAATGGCTAATTATAATTCCATGTATAAGGAAAATGGTTTCTGCTTTTGCAATAGTATAATAATAGGAAAAATGATTTTTGGCTCAAGAGTAGATGGATTCGTTTTTTCCAAAACAAATAAATTTGTCTAATCTTCACTTAAAAAAAATTATAATATGTTTATAATTATAATTTATTTCAATTATAATAGTCTTTATAAATTATAATTTTTTAATTTTTCAATCCCAAAATTACATTATTTCAGTGAACATCAAATAAATTTGTCTAAAGTAACTTTAAAGTTTTATTCTCAAAGCATAAACTATTGTCTATGCTGCAGTGACAATATGATAGAAAGAGAAAACAAAAATATTTGAAGCGCACGATAGTAGAGAGAGAAAGCACAATGTCTTTGTGTGGTAGATAGAGCAGGCAAAATAAGCTCGACTCGGCGGGCCAACTCGTCCCACTAACTAAATGAGGCGGGGCGGACTTGTTTTTTGGCGGACAGAGACAGGTCAGTGTAAAATAGGTTTGGACTGACGGGCCAACACGTCTAACTCGCCAAACTGGACGAGACGGACCGAGTTTTTCAGTCCACTTTAAAAAGCGCGACGGGCCGCCCACTTTGCCACCTCTACTGGCAGACAATGATTTTTGCTTTTGAAGCATAAATCATTATTCCATAATAAATTAAAAAATACCTTTCATAATTTCTTGTGGGCTTCTTCTTTCTTTTCTATTATTCTTCTTTTCGTTCACTTGGATCTGCCACTTACTTTTTCTCTGTCTGTTGAGAATATTGTTAACTGTCTGAATTGTAAATTAAGAAATTCCCGTGCTGGTCACATTCTATTAGTTATAACCTTATGCAAAGGAATAGAAGAATATGCATCTAGATCATAAATAATGTGTGATTAAAGTAAAGATGTTGGATTATATATGGATCATAAAAACTTTAGATAAAAGGTACAACCTGGAAAGTGGAGAATAAAAAAACGGAGTCGTTGTTGTCTTTGTCCTACTTTTTACTTCTCAATGGTTAAAACTCAAGATCTACAACAATTTTTGTTCTAACTTTCCTCTAGTATCTAAATTAACATAAAGCATATGCATATATTTTTATTTTTACAATTCAAATAGTTTAAAGGTTATTTAATGAAAAATTCAGTAGTCACAGTCACAGGACAAGCCTCCAGCCAATAAGCCATTGTCCAATTTTCATTTCTGGTATTCCATCGTTGTTTCTAATGGTTGAATTTTGTCAGTGTGCTTTCAATAATAAAAATCCATTTCCCTTTCTTATTTATAAAAAAATATTCATAAAGGAATGAAGTTGATTACGTTGTGATTTAGTCATCATCTTCTTTTATTACAAAGCAATAATAATTAAAGATGAAATTCAGAATATAATTATTGATGGGATGATGGGAACATGGTTTTCATGTGCGTTTACGTATTGACCAAAGCACCATGATTATACTGCCTTTCATTAAATTAGATGGCGCAAACTTCAAATCTAAGAATGAACTTTGCTTCAGAAGTGGGAAAATAAATATATGTTGAGTACATTTGAAGCCATAAGAGAGGAACAAATTAACAATTTTCAATAACTAACATGTTGAAAGAAAAAATAAACTATTCCTTAGATGGTCCATGGTTATGATGTCTTGAAGGAAGTCACAACACTTCTCAAACATTTCCAACAATTAAGAAAATGAAAAAATAAATAATACAATTTTAGATAAAAAAAAAAAAGTTTATTATACTGATTGTTTGTCTCTTTCTTTGTTTTCCTCGTGTATCATTTCAATTTTCCTAAAATTTGATATTTTGAAAAAAAAAAAAAAAAAAAGAACATGAAAAAAAAAATGATGACTACTTGGAAAATAGCATCCTCGTGTATTAGCAAATATATCGTGCATTGCACGATTATTAAATTTTAAAAGGTATAACTTAAAAATATTTAAACTTGTAAATATAAAATTAAAAAATATATATGACCTATTTAAAAGAATTTAAATTTATAATAATAAAAAATATCAAGAATTATATGAGTTATTATTTAAGAAATAGTAGACTAAATGATTATATCACTCTCTAGATATTCTATTCTAATTTAATATATAGAAATAGAACAAAAAGAACAAACTTAAATTAAGGGGGAAAAATAAGTTGCTCAATTATTTTATTTTTATTTTTTTTAATTTCAATAAATGTCTTTACAGAGATCTTCACATGGAACAAACACGAAACCTGCGGACTTGGCCCATGGTTTTCATCTTTAATGATGGGTCAATGGACTTAGGATTAAACCTAACCACCAACAGTTAAAACTCAATTAGGCTTTGCCCAATACATAAATTGGCCTGGTCCATGAGCAAACTATATAGAGAACAAACTGTAGACTGTAGTATCTACTATCTATGATAGCCCATGCCCATGAGCTCAGACATCATCTAAACCAAAATTGTGAACCCGAGCCGACCTATCGGGTCAAGTATCGGATCCAATTAAATTCGACCAAAATTGATGACTCAGTCGAGATATACATTTTTATAAAAAAAAAATTTAAAATTGTTTCATCTTGTTAAAAAAATATAGAATTCATTTTAAAATTTTTTTTAATTTTATTTGCTAGTAGTATATTCTTCTACAATAATATCAAATTTCAACTTCTAATACTGAAACAATTTGTTGAACAATAAATTAAGAGAACGTGACATATGTCATTTCAATGTAGATGAATTTGAAAATATGAGTTCACAATATCTGGTATTTTGGATGTCATTGAGAGGTATGATTATGGAGATTTTGAGTTGCAATTTAAATTGACATAATAATAACGTGCATTTTCATTTATTTGTGCTTCGTGAACTTGTAAAAGGGTGATTGAGTAATTTTTTTTTAGCTTATTTAGTAGATCTTGTTTAACTCATTTTAAATATGAAGAATATAATTAAATCAATATGTTCATATTTATATATATCCGGATCAATCGGTTCGACTAATGACCCACCTATATGACTAGTGATTAGTACCCCGACCAGGTTGATGTCCAGGTCGAGTTTAATAACATTGATATAAACTAAAGGCATATTTATAAAGGAAATGTTTGTTGCATATAAAATTGGCAAAACTATTGATAGAGTTGTGGCATAAATAGTTTATGGAAAAAATATTTGTCCTTTTAAATGATATAACTTTGTGTCATTTTAGATCCTAATCATTGATTTTTATCAATTAACGATTAGGATTTACTGGGTCAAACTTATTAATTAATTAGTAATTCGCAATAAAATTCAATAAATCTTAACCGTTGATTGACGGAAGTCAACGATTAAGATCTAAAATGATACAAAATTATATTTTTTAAAAGGACAGATATTTTTCCTTTTATTTATCTGTCACAAACACAAAAATGAAAGAGGTAATGAATATGAGTTTGATCCTAGTAATTTTTTTATTTAAAAAATAATGAATTCCTTTTTTTTATCTCCGAGACAGACATTACTCTTTTAAATGCTGCATAAAAGTAATGCCCTATGCTCATCCCCATTTTCAAATAACTCCACATACGGAGATACATGACATTGATGTCAGAAAGAAAAAAAAGACAAAATAATAATTATAATAATGAGGATAATTATAAAAACTTGTTATGTGAAAATAATAAATATTTTCCCCAACAAGCTCATGTATAAGATTTATTTAATCAGAATCAAACGGTCAAAAAAATGGAAACAGAATTATAAAAAGGAAAAATAGAACCAAATGAGACCCTTGAAAACTAGCCGTTACAAAGAGAGCCTCAAGTAACGTTCCAATTTTTTTTTTCTTTCTCTTGCGCTCACAATCCCTTTCTTTCTCACTGCACAAACATCACCTCTCTCTCTCTCTCTCTCTATTTTCCGATGGAAATGGCCACCAAGAACGCCGGTGTAGCAAGAATGAAGAATCTAGAATCATCCAAATATGCTGAGAATTTCAACCCAAACGTTAGCGATGAACAAAGCCCAGGTAAACAACCCTTGTTATTCTCAAACACTTGTTCTTCCAACAACAAGTCACAGAAGAAATCCAAGAAGGCCAACCCAGTTGGTTATTCTTCCCCTCAGAACAGGATCAGGCAGAGGAAGTTCGTGGTGGCAAAGAAGAACAAGGAAGGGGAAGGTGTTGTTGCTGCCTCCTCCTCAACGGTGTCGTCTTGCAAGTGCAAAGAGAACAAAAGTGGTGGTGGCAACGATGGAAACAAGAGCAAGTGTCTCTGTGTGGCTTACCAGAATCTGAGGAAGTCCCAAGAAGAGTTCTTCAAGAACCGCCCTGATGATGATGATGAAGGAGCTGCTGAGACTGAGAGTGTTCTTCAAGAAGAACAAGAAGAATTGGGAAACAGTGATGTATGTGAGTCAGAACCTGCGAATCAAGAAGGTAATTTGATAATGAAACGTACAAGGGAGAGAATGATGGAAGATGGAAAAGAGATTGTTCCTCAAAGTGGGTCTGGGAAAGTAATGAATTTGGTGAAGGCCTTTGAGAAGCTTCTCTCTATACCAACTTCCAAGGATGAGGATCACAAGGAGGAACCTCAAGAGAATAACAAGGTGATGAAGTGGCCAATGCCAGGGTTTCAGATTCCTAAAGAATCTGAAACTGAGGTTGCTGTTTCTTCATTTTGCCCACCAAACATGACTTTGACACCCGAAAACCTTGGCTTGGATCCACGCGTCTCGGTTTCTTCTTCTTGGGATAGCAGCCGTGCAAGGTTTGATTCTTCTTTGTTCATGTTTGGTTTTGATTGATTTTGAGAGAAAAAAATCAACTTTTTTTACTTTTTTTTTTTTCACAAGATCTATTGTAGAAGGCAAAATAATCTAATTCATACAGAGACTTAATATATTAATCTATGATATATTTATCTACTTTCTTGAATAGTGATTATTCCAGTGTTGTGTTGATGTTTGCTATCTTTCTAAAAGCTGCAGTGTGTCTAGCGATCGAAGAAGCAGGAGAAATGTAAGACTTTTAAAGTTGCTTTTTATAAGATAAAATGCAGAATGGTTAATGATTCATTCACCAATTAGAGTTTTGAGTTTTAATTGGACGAATTTCAGAGCCTGGAATCTTCAACCACTTTTGGGGGAAGGAAGTGGAGAAAGAAGCACAAGAAAGTCACCAGCCAAAAACCATTCAAGCTAAGGACTGAGGTAATTGCTTGTAATTGATTGATTGATTGTGTTCAGTGTAAAAAGTCCCCTTTTATTATTATCATTATTATTTTCCAATGACTTTGGATAGCAACATTTTTAATGGAATGATATTGTAGCAAAGGGGAAAGTTGAAAGAGGAAGAATTTGTGAAGAAGATACAAGAGATGGTAACTGAAGAAGAGAAGCAGCGGATACCTGTTGCACAGGGTCTTCCTTGGACAACAGATGAACCAGAGGTATGTTCGTTTTGCTACTGAATGGAAGTCCTTTGTTTGAGTTCTGGTATGACTATGTTATGGTCCAAAACACAAATAATCACCAATTCAAAGACATATTTGTTCCCATCTTTGCAATTGCTATAATGGATTACTTGGCATCCTTTTGGTGCAACTATTTCAGTGCTTGGTAAAACCTCCAGTGAAAGAAATCACAATGCCTATTGACCTGAAGCTTCACAGTGATGTGCGGGCAATGGATCGCGCTGAGTTTGACCATCAGGTTTCTCTTTCAGTCTCCTTTTTCTCCTTATTGCTTAACTTTTTCTTCCGTAGTATATCTTGTAGTGGTACCATTGTTTTTCTTAGCTTTGCACTACTACTTGTCTTTTAAGGTCCTAGGGATGATTTTAACTGCTGAATACTTGTCAGTCTCAATTGAGTTATCTTTCAGTTTTGGAAGATGCCAACTATGTAGGAAATGAAAACAAGATTTGATGAATGTAAATCATGCAGGTGGCAGAAAAATTGTGCTTAATAGAGCAATACAAATTGGAAAAGGAGAGACAACAGAAGGTGCACTCTTAATACTATTAAGATAGATATTCCTGCACTGATGATATACCATGTTTCCTTTAATGAAATGCTGATTTCTTGTATGTTTCTCCACTAAAGTTGGCAGAAGAGGAAGAACTCAGAAGGTTGAGGAAGGAACTAGTTCCAAAAGCACAGCCCATGCCATATTTTGATAGACCTTTTATCCCAAGGAGGTAAGGATTGATCTTGCTAGTCCCAAGATCAAAGGTCTAAAAAGTTGCACATATTGGCAAGTCATTCTCTTCCATCTCATATTGGTTTTTTGTATGTGCAAGGTCGATGAAGAATCCAACGATACCTAGAGAACCCAAATTTAATAAGAAGATTAAGTGCAGCTTTTCATCATGGAATGACATAAGCCCCTATTCCTCCTACCTTAACTGAGAGCTTCCAAAGATTATTTGTTGACGTGAATTGAAGTGAATAATGTTCTTTTTATACCTTAACTGTTCTTTTTATCACTTCTCTGAATAATCTTCAATTTTTTCTATACACGCAACCAATTTAGTTGCACATTCTTCTCTTTTTGGCTTTGTATTTTGTACAGTGTTTAAAGGATCATTTGTTGATGTGAATTGAAGTGTGCAACTACAACCCCCAGTGTTTAAAATATTAACACCTGAGCAACTTAACTTTCAAAGAATAATCAATTTGCAATGAACTGGGATACAAATCTCGAGTATGTTATCTTGTTTTAATCGTAATAGAATGAATTTCACTGAAAGAGAGAAAGTTAACACTGGGAGAAAAAAAAAGACAACTAGTTGCATATTCTTCTCTTTTTGGCTTCTGTTTTGTATAAAAGATCGACACCTGAGCAAATTATCTTCCAAAGAATCATCAATTTGCTTTATAACTGGGATACAAATCTAGAGTAACAAGCTTCAGCCAAAGTAGCTGCATAAGCTTCAACCAAATTCGTAAAATATTAAGAGTGTAAATAGGCTAGGCCTAACCTATATTAAGCCAGACTTGCTCTATTACAAATAATAAAATAAAACAGACCTAGACTTTTTAAAAAAACTATTTAGAAAACAGGTCATAAGTTTTTTTTTTTACATATCGAGCCTATAAGGCTACAGGCTGATCTATATCATATTATTTATTTTAAATAAAATAAATAAAATTATTTAATAAAATAATATTATTTTAATTATTCTTTTAATTGTTGAATATTTAATAGGCAAGCAAACAGACCTAAGCCAAAGCTTTTACTTTTTAAACCAGACTTGTAATTTGGGACTTACGCAGACTAACAGGACAGGCCAGACCCAATATTTTTTACACAGATTTTAGTCTATTTAAACTAAAACCTAACCTAGCCTATTTAGACCCGTGGTGACTTAATTTATAACTGGTCTCTTTCCTACTACGTCTTGAAGTAGTAAATGCTATTCCTTCCTTCATTCACTTGATGAATCTAAGAACTCTGGTAGTTAAACACTATGAATGTATGAAAATTTTCTCGAGGAAAAAAATCAGTTGCGGACTAAAATTATCCAAGGCAATGCAAGACTCGGAGCAAAAGAGAGGACATTTTAAAAAGCAAAACAGGGTACTTTTAGGGGAAAAAAATCGAGTTACTAGAATATAATGCAGGTGTTGAGAATTTAAGTGAAAACCTAATGGTCCAAAATTCACGACTAGAATAACGCAAGTAAAAAAATTACAATTTGTAAAATGCTGAGTAAACTCAGCCCTATTCAATCAATACATAAAATCTTGTCTAGATGTTATCTCAATAAAAATAAATCCTAGAGGGCATTATAATGCACCGTTAGCACCCAATAACATCCCAAGATCAAGGAGCAAGCACAATTCTCCCAGCAACTTGATCAAGATCCCTTCGACCACTAGAAGTTATTGTCCTACCTCTGCAATACAAAGGGCATATACAAGTTAAATGCTATACGTAAAGTGGTAAACAAATTCTCAAAGAACCAACTAGATGAAGACCGTTGCTTGGTGTTTCAAACACGAGGAATCCAGGAAATACAATGACCTAGTTTTGTTTTAAATGTTCAGTCCTATGGTTGTTTATGATTCTGTTAGTGTGTGTTGTGCATTAAAAGAGACTGAACAAGGATATAAAATTGTACATGAAAAAACGAGATAAATGCTATCAGAAAACATAACTCACCCTTTTGGATCAACCTCAATAATGTTCATGCTTTGCAACTGTTGCAGAATGTTCCTGGCTATAGCACCGCTGCTCTTGCAGAAATGTGGGGGACGGCTTCCATTCCTCTTGCTTCCACCATAGATCCTCCTAAAAGCACCAACGCCAAGACCGCCTCTCAAATAGATCTTTCTTGCCATGGAGGCTGTAACCAATATTGAACTAACTTAATCTAACAGTAAATTATAAAAGCTCAGTTTCCAACAGCATAAACAAAGCTTTGTGTGCAAGCATACATTCATGCTAGCTCATGAACAACTTGCAAATAGTCAGGCATAAACTCACCAGCTCGAATATAATACCAGTCAGGATCATAGGGAGCCAATTCTTTAAATTTTGCAGTTTTTACAATATCCGTCCACTCAGGAAGCTCCATCTGTTCAAGTTCAAGAACAAGATAGAAGCAGAGGTGAGAAGAGAAATCTTCAGGTGGAGCCACAAACACATTACCAAATTAGCGTATAGTTAAGAATTTTACAGACAGAAATTTGCTTTCAGCAACTACAATAGGAGGAAATTAATTAACATTCATAGAAGCACCACAGAAAGTAGTGTTATGGTTGAAATATTAATCAACTGGTGTTAAAATTCACTGCCTTATTAGCCCTAGTCCACAACACATCCAAAATATTTAGCTATTCTGATTTAAGTGGTCCGCATATGCTTTTCTCTGTATAGAAGAACTCATATCTACCCTTTACACACCGCAAGTTGGGAAGATGAGACATATGAGGAAACATAATCTCCACAGTAAGATTTTACACACACTAATCCAAATTAATAAGTTTCTTTGAATTTGGAGCACATTATTGGTACAAAATTGAAATCAAACATTCTTAATTCCAAGCTAAAACAATTGGAGCCATTAGGATAAAAAATTCAATATGCACAATGCCAGGTAGTATTTTATTTTATGCAATTGAAACTAGTTCCCCAGCCCTTACAAATAATAAATAAATAGCAAATACGATTAATTCTATACATATAAAAAATCCATAACTCAAACATATGATAAATCTAAGCAACAAAAAAAAGAGAGAGACAAAAACCCAGATAAAATTGAATCTTATAAGATAGAGAAAGTGGCATCAGCAGTACTCATAATAAGAAATTAGAAACTTAAAAAAAAAAATTACAAATTTAATGAGTCTTTTAAGTAGCATCATTTTAAATTATTGAAAGTAGCAGGAAGAAACAATGTTACCTTGCCAGAACGCTTGAGGTGAGAGGAGTAAGCCTTGACAAACTCGTGAGGAGAAACGTCCTTCACGGTCCTCGAAGCTGCCATGGCGGAATCAGAGAGTGGCAACACAAATGCGATTGAAAAGTCTCTTTCTTTATGAAGTTTATATATGAATCAAAAATGGCTCAATTAGGGTTTTAATTCTACTTCTGTTGCCCATTCTGCTTAACCCAGTTTGGTACATTGTTGATTGGGCTTGTATACAGTGTTCATAGTTCTGGGCCGAACCCCCTTTTTTCGTCACAAAATAAAATATTTTTTTTTTGTTACTGTTATTTTATTTTATGTGTTTTCTAATTTTTTGAATAGAAAAAATGAAAAATCAATTCTGAAAATTTTGCAATATATTTTCAGAATTTATGTTTTTTGTGTTGTAGAAGATAATTTTATTTTTATACGCATAAAAATATAATGATCCATGTGATATCATATGACGAAAAAGTGAATAATAATAAAAAAAAATGGCTTTAATTGTATGGGGAACTAGTTTCAATTGGAAATTATTGGGTCGTATTTATTAATTAATTATTAATTTTAATAAATTATAACTGTTAGATTGACGGAAATCAATGGTGATTAAGTTGGTTGTAAAGGTTGTAAACTTTTTTGGTTACAAGTAGGGGTGAAAGTGGGCTGGGCTGGACCAAGCTTTGTCCCGAAAAGCCCAAGTCTACGTCAAGAAATTTTAATTTGGCTTGGCTCAAGCCTAGTACGAGTCTAACTGTTAGTCTGATTTGCCCCGTTTATAAAAAAATAAATGGGCTGGCCCAGCCCGTTAGCCTGTTAAATTTTAGTAGAACCATGAATCAACTTTACACAATATTCAAATTAAGTTGTTAAATCAAAAATCATAATTTCAACGTCCAAACAGAATCATGAATCACAACAAAACTCATACAATCTACATTTAAGTCACTTTCAAAAGCCAAATGCTCAAACTAAATAACATATATTTCATCAAATCCAACAAACAAATCCATACTAGGTAAACTAAAATAACTACATGAATCCAACAAACACATCATAATGCTTGTAGTAAGTATAATATATCCCAAAAATATTTTAATATATTCATATACACAATCTAATATGCTGAGATGTTGATTCTTCCTACATAAGAAATAAAATAAAATTTCTATTAAAATATAATTGAATATAATTAAGTTATAAATAATTGCAATTGATTAAATTTATATCTTTTGTTATTTCTTCAAGACATACTTATTCTGTTTTATTTTATTTCAAATAAATAGTACAATATAGGACGACCTGTAGGCTTATAGGCCAGGCCTTGTGAAAGTGGGCCTACAGCCTTTTTATTAGACAAGCTCTTTCAAAGCCCAAGTCCGGCCTGTTTTACGAAATATACTAAGTCAAGTCTGGCCTGACGTAAGCCGAGCCGTAGGCCCCTGTAGGCCGGCCCGGCCTAATTTCACCCCTAGTTGCAAGTATATCATATCCTATATATATATATATATATATATATATATATATATATATATATAGGTTAAAAGATTTCTCCAGTCATCGGAGATAAAGTTATCTCCAGTGAGCTCAAAAAGACGTCGTTTTGGGGCGGAAATCAAGGTATTTTTGTAATTATAATATATTGCAGGGTTATATTAGTCTTTGTCATTATAATTTTTTAATCTTATAACTCAAAACGACGTCGTTTTGAGCTCACTGGAGAGAAATTATCTCAGGTGATTGGAGAAATACTTTTCCCATATATATATATATATATATATATATATATATATATATATATATATATATATATTCACAAAAAATTCTGGAATATTTTTAGCACGGTTTACCGACACAACACTACCTTCTCAAAAAACTATTATTTTTATAACGATTTCTAAATTATTAATTTTTAATAAATTGTAATCGTTAGATTGACGAAAATCAATGGTGATTAGGTTAGTTGTAAATGTTGTATACTTTTTTGGTTGTAAGTATATCATGTCCCATATATATATATATATATATATATATATATATATATATATATATATATATATGGGGCAGGATCATCTTACACCGTGTAAGAATAATAAATCTTACACCAAATCTTAACCATTGATTTTCTACATCTAACGGTTAAGATTTATTAGGTCTCACTCATTAATTAATTTTTAATTTCCAATAAATCTCAACCGTTCGATGCACAGAAATCAACGGTTATGATTTGGTGTAAGATTTATTATTCTTACACCGGTGTAAGTTGATCCTATCCCTATATATATATATATATATATATATATATATATATATATATATATATATATATTCACAAAAAATTCTGGAATAATTTTAGCACGTTTTACCGACACAACACTACCTTCTCAAAAAGCTATTATTTTTTCAACAATTTCTAACATTATTTTGCCAACCCCCCCCCCCCACCCACACCCACATATATGGAGTTTGATTTTCTTATGTTGCATGAGAATTGAATTCTCATGTTGTGAATTCACTAATGGTGGGCCCCACATTTATTAAAAAAAAAATTGCACGCAAATCGAATGGTCACAACATGATAATTGAATTCTCAGGCAACATGAGAAAATGTTTTTCCCACACAGACATATATATATATATATTGTGCATTTTCGGCTTTTTGACCATTTTGCCCCTTATTAATTAACTAATAGTTATTTTGACCCTTATTCAAAACTATCTACCAATCTGCCCCTCTTTAATCGATTAACTTGAATATTTAATCGATCAAATGGTCGAAATCGATAAAAATGATTGACTCGAGATTTAATCAATTAAATCTCTCTATTTAATCGATCAAATCTCCCAAAAGCTAAAAAATGGTTGACAGCAATGGATTAGCCTCAGGCACCAGCTGTGTGTCACTGACAACACCGATTCTTCTTTGTATTAGCCGCAGGTTGAACAATTTGGATGTGCTTCAACATGGAGGCTAGTGGCAAAGGAGAGTGTTGGGGTGGAGGTTGTACGTCCATGGGTGGTGACGAAGGACTAGTGTCTGGGATAGAAGAACCCTTTTTGGTGTTTGAGGTTGTGCTTCTAGAGTAGAATCATGGTCAAAATCCTCAATGGGTGTTTGGGGAGGTTTTTCACCTCCATTGAAGACAACAAGGGGCTTGTCTGCATCCAGAAGATAGATTTGATTTGCTAATTCATTTTGGTTAAATACAGTTAACCAAATTGGATGTGAGAATAGTTAACCAAACTCCTTTTAAAATAGAAATCGGTTTGGTTATTATGACATAACACAGATTTGACATAACGCAGCATGACTGGGCCTTACCAAATTTCAAGAGGTGAATTTGTCGGTTTGTTTCTTTGTTTGGTTATCTATACTTGTTGATTTACTTCATATACATGGAATCAGCTTTTATTTATGGAGGAGATTTAATCTTTGTTGCCTGTTGGGAGATTTAATCGATTAAATAGGGAGATTTAATCGATTAAATCTCGAGTCAACCATTTTTCGACCATTTAATCGATTAAATAATCAAGTTAATCGATTAAAGAGGAGCAAATTGATAGATAGTTTTGAATAAAAGACAAAATAGTTATTAATTAATTAATAAAGGGTAAAAAGGTCAAAAAGCCATGCATTCTCATATATTCTTCACATTCTAGGTTACCTATTTCTTCCCTTTACATTTCTTTGTTTTGGTTGTCTCCGAGTTCTACACAGAATTCTAGGTAATGCCTAGTTTCTTGGTTGTTGAGATTTTAATTTTGAAATGGAATCTTCGTTCCTGTTAATAATGTCATTTTAGGATATCCTTCTTGTTTTGAATAATTTTCGTGTAGACGATAAAAAAAAATTAGTCGAGTTAGAAATTAGAAAGCTAGGGTTTTTGGAATTTGTTATCTGTATTATAAGAAGGGATTTATTAATCTCATGTTAAAGGAGATAAGTTATCTCATGTCATAGAGACAAAGTGGGCTCCACCACCTGAAAAAGATAAAAAGAAAAGAAAAGAAAAGAAAAAGGTGGCACAGTCATCGAAAGGTGTGTAGGGAAAAAACTTATCTCATGTAACATGAGAATAGTATTTCCCTTATAAGAATAAGAGGTTTAATTTTTTTTTTAAAAGTAACAAGTTTAAGTGAGATTAGATACTGGTGTTTCACTTGAACTAGAGCAAACTTCCTCCAATCTCTTTAGAAATTTCTGAGAGGAATTATAGATCGCTTGTCACCTACCAACGAGTTCCTCATATTGGCTAGCGTGGTTCAAACTCACATCCTTTACGAGATATGAGTCAAATTCTTAACTAACTATGTGTACTCTTGTTGGCGAATAAGAGGCTTAGTTTGATGCCACTTTATTTTGTTTGGGATTTAAGATTGAAAAAATGCTACCTTTTTTGGAGATGCTCCGACCAAAAACCTTTTAAAGCATGCAAATTGGAGTTTTGATAGTATTAAGGATTAACTTGTATTATTTTTCTGACTTACAATTACTGAAGGCAAATTCTTGGGTAGGCTAATTAAAATGAGAATAGTAATTTGATGGATAACTGTTTGAACTGTAATGCAATGTTGGACAAATTCTAGTGCTGAAGCAAACTTTAGATTCATGGTGTGTTTTACTTTCTTTCTTGTAAAGTTCTCAACTGTTTCTGTTGGGTTAGGATACAAGAGTTTGGGCACTGCATGGATGGATTTTGTTTTATGCTCCAATCATATAATTAGTGAATAAATCACTTTCTTTTCTTTTCTTCTCCATAAATCATTGTCTTTGTTGTTAGAAGTCTCTCCATCACCATATACAATTCAAGTTTACGTGAGCTCATTTTACAATAAAAATGTTAAGGTTATTTATAAGTTGTTAATAATAAAGGTTTATGTCCTGAAATGGTGAATTGAGTTAGAGTTTGGTTCATTTCATGAAAGGACCTTAAATGATATAGTAGAACAATGGAAGGCTTAAAATGAAAGGGAGCCTTGGCGTATGTAGCAGAATACTATCTGAATTTAGAAACAAAGAGGGGAAAGATAGAAAGTAGGAAGTGAAAGAAAGGAAAATGAGAGAGAGAGAGAGAGGATTTGGCAATTTTCTGATATTTCTTCTCAATAACAAGTCACCTAAATGC